CCCCCCCTGCTGCTGCTGCTCTGCGAGTCGCGCCGCCCCCCTCCTCAACACCGCCACCACCACACCGGTGTCAGAGCTCGGCTGACCTCCATGTTTCTGTCCACCAGGTGGCAGAGTAAAAACCTGGAAAAGAAGATGGTTCATCCTCACAGACAACTGCCTTTATTACTTCGAGTACACCACTGTGAGTACAGACCGTACAGACCGGGCTCTTTATCTCCTGTCGCTGGGCCTGACCCCTCCCTGCCAAACCAGCATGAAACCCTGTTCCTGTTAGTGTGGTCTCGGTGTAATGTGTGCATACTGCACCTGTGGTCTAGGGAAGATTGAGGGCTGACACTTCAGCTTTATGTGGTGCCTAGAACATCCTGTCTCTGATGTAAGGTGTTTAACGTTGAACAGGTCCGTTTGCTTTCCTGAAAGAGTTTATCAATTGGTGGAAATGTTTTTGTCGGTATTTATTAATCTATTAATATTGAGTGCTTATTAACCACAGGAAACATAGTCATTATTTTAAAGTCCAACCAGGTGAACCTTCATCAGGAGAGCAAATCACTCACAGGGCACACCTCGGCGGTGTGCATTTGGTGTCCTTTAGCCCTAAGAGAAATCCCCTGAAGGGTTTGTCAGTCTGGGAGAACCGAGACAGACTGTCTGGCTGCTTCAGTTTGGTTTCCCGTCAGCTCATTATTTTTCCTTTATACAGAAATGGCGTAGCTCTTTGGATCTGACTTACTTGCAGCTGCCTCCTTTTGGCCCCTTCAGTATAATAAAAGTGTCAGATATTTCAGGTTGCGAAGCTTTTTATGACGATATTGCCCATAGCTGACTCGGGGTGGATGTGCTATGACGTTCCCCCATGGCCGTAGCTGTAGCGCGGCACTTGTAATGGGCACAGGGTGACGATCCGTTAATTGCCTTCATTATCTTTAACGTTTTGAAAGGTCTGCTTGACATGAGGCATAGCTTAAGGCCCTCGTCAAGTCTGTTCTGCGAGAGTGCAGGGTGCACCGGGAGTGCACGGCAAGGCTGGTATTTTATTTTAGCTGCGTGCAGAAGTTACCGTGTGCTGCCGCACACCCCAAGGAACGGCTGAAGTATGGTATGAACTTGGGGAAAACAGCCCACTAGTCTAGTACGGCTTCTGTAGAGCGCCGTGACACCTTGTCTAGCTACTGCAGGTGTGGTGTAGTCGTGTTTTCCGGTCCATTCGGTGTTTGAGAACCAAGTGCTCTCTGACAGCTGTCTCCCTGACTGCAGGACAAGGAGCCCAGAGGGATCATCCCCCTGGAGAACCTGAGCATCCGAGAAGTGGAAGACTCCAAGAAGCCAGTGAGTCATGTTCTGAGCTGCTCTGTAGTAACCAATTTGTACCTTACACACTTACAGTAGTCCGAGAGAACGGAAAGGATGCCTCTAGGAATCTTAACTCAGATGTTCAACATGTCAAGGGTGAGGTCAAGGGAAATAAAGGTAGGCTACAGTTTGACGGCTTTCTTAGAGTCAATTCTCTTTTACTTCTCGAGCCGTCAGATTTACAAAATTAGTTTCTTTTTTGCCTTATTGTAACCCATGTTCCCAGCATGAACGAGACACATGATTTTAGCCTCAGCCCCTTAAGTCCATGTGCCCTGCTGTATAAATGGGTACAGGAATAGCAGGGACTGAAGGGAACGTCCTGCATTGACCAACTGAAGGAACTGACCCTTTTCATTTGAGTAGAGAAGACAAATGAGTGAACTTGCTCCAAGTATTCAAACTGGACAAAGTACAGTCATTGACAAAGTGGACTTTAGACTATAGAGGGTAAAATGAACCTGAGGGAAACAATTTAGAATCCAAAATCCTTTGCCCAGAGGGTTGCTACTAGTGTAAGAAGATACCCGACCATGTTGTTGAAGCTAGTACTTACTGAAGGCTTCTTTCGAGAAGGGACTGGAGGAGATCCATAGATCAGTTAGGGCTTGATGGGCAAAATGGCCTCCTCTTGTTTGTGATTTTGTCGTCTGGTCTAATGCCGGGCTGTCTGCTTGTGTCTGTGTCCCAGAACTGTTTCGAGCTCTTCATCCCCGACAACAAGGACCAGGTGATCAAGGCCTGCAAGACGGAGGCGGATGGGCGTGTGGTGGAGGGCAACCACACCTTCTACCGCATCTCCGCCCCCACCACCGAGGAGAAGGACGAGTGGATGAAGTGCATTAAGTGAGAGACGTCCCCTTCCTCTGTGTTCGCTTGTCTTAACTGAGTATCTGTGCCGGAGAGCCGTGCCAATCAGCTCTTGGTGACAGATCTCATCTGTGTCTCTCCTCGACATGCACGCGTGGGGGTGTGTCTGCATGCATGCGGTTAGTTGTCTTTGTCATTGTGTCAGTTCAGTTGTGCCGTGTTTGTCTTTGTATGCAGTCACATGGAAGAGGCTACATTTCCATGTATCTGCGAAAGAATTTCAGCACCTTTCGTTGGTCTCTGCGTGTATCTGGTTTTTTAACCTTGGAATATGTGATGTTTGCCTTTCTGGATTTTGGTGTTGGAGAACATTTTTTTTTTTCATCGATCCAGTAATGGGAGGTATATGAACCTACTCACCACACTACAACAAAAGCTCTCTCTCTCTCTCCTGTCTTTTCTCAGAGCTGCCATCAGCAGAGACCCCTTCTACGAGATGCTGGCAGCCAGGAAGAAGAAAGTGTCCTCAATGAAGAGGCACTAGATCCACGCTGGACATTTTTGCACTTGTGGGACTCGTGCTGTGTTGAGCTACTCCTCCTCTGAGTAGCGGACCTAGTTTTAGAACTGGGGAGGCATGTTTTGGGGGGTCAGAGGCGGGGTTAGACTTGGGGGAGGTAGGTGGAACAGAGGCGGGCAGGGTGGCTTGCTGCTTCTCTGCTGATCTGGACTACTGGACACTTCTCCTGGGCCTCTCTGCCTTCACACCCGCCTGCTTCGTTGCCCAGGGGGTTGTCTTCACTCCTCTGTTTCTCTGTCCTCTGGGTGAAGCTGTGGTTCCTCAACCCCTCCAGAGCCCAAGCTCTCTGTCCAAACATCCAGCCTCACACATACAACCCCCCTCGTTTGTCTTTTCAACTCAGCAGGTCTGACTGAATGTGGCACCCCAACCAAAATGTTCTAAATTGCTTAGAAAGAATGAAAAACTAAGTTGAACAGATTTTTTTTTTGCTCTTGTGTACAGATATACAACATGCATCTATTTTTTCAAGAGGCCGCACCCTTATTTTTACTTTTCAGGAGGGTTTTTTCAAAGTGGACTTTTGCCAGAAGCTTTTGTGATCTTAAGGATTTTCGTTGTAAACTTTCAGGAACTTAAGTTCTGTTTTGTATTTCTGTTGTTAGTTTTTAAAATTTTGTTTCTGTTCACTTGAGACTATTTTTCTTGCTTCCTCATGGGAGAGTGCTTTTTCTTGAAACGGAAGGGTCTTTTGAAACGTGTGGAGACGAGGTTAGAAAAATAGAGATCCAAGCTTGAGAGTTGCTTGGAGTTGTTTGAACAGAAATGTGCCATCAAAGCCAAATTTCTCTTGTTAAATTTGACAACTCTTGAAAGATCCCTTATTTATCAATCCTAACTCGATAATGATTGAAATGCCAAAGTAGCACAGAGGACTGCTTGTACAAGTTCAGGTAGAAATAAGAAGATAGGGAACGAATCTCCACACCCTCTCTTTGCCTGCTCTGAGTTCATGTGGGATTCTGGTCAAACTGGAGTGTGCGGTTCATCTTTCTGTGGCTTCTGCTGGAACATTGCTCTTCAGTGCTACCATCCAGGTGCAATGGGCTACAACACAAGCACAGAAGCTGCAGAGGAATTGGAATATGGAGGAAAATTAATGGGGAAAAAAGGACAAAGGAACAAGTGGTTAAGACAGATTTAGCTAGTTGTCTGACAGTGAATTTCATTGAAGTTCATAACCTACGCAACATCGATTGCGAACATGGGCTGGCATTCAGGTCCCTGCTCGATGCTGGAGAACCACTGTCGGCAGGGTTCAGCTTGTTTTACCCTTTCAGTCAAATCGGATCTTTCCGATTGCTTTTGGCCAGTTGAAGCTGAGGTGGGGAAAGGCCAGTCACAGAGGAGAGTGCTGGGTTTTCACAGACTGTGACTGGAATCCTCACTAGCTGGAGTAGAAGTAGAAATGGCAGTTTTGTTTTTTTCCCTTACTCTTTTCGGTAGGAGCTGTGGATTTGCCAAATGTAAAGACTGTTTGAGGCTGAATTCCTTTTGCCTCCTGTCCAGACCAGACCTCTCTGCTCTGTAATATTTCAGCCAGAATCCTCTCAACCCCTTCTCCAGCCTGGTTCATGTGCCTTTTCCTGACCCTGAGCACTGGGGCAGCGCCAGTCAGCCTTTCTCGTCACAGACTGCCTCATGGTCTCACAGACTGTCCTTTTCTGTTGAATTTTGTATATTGCCATAAACAAAATTAAAAAAAACAGCAAGTGAGATTTTCATAGAGCTGTTCATAAAACAATTTACAAAGTTGTTTCTTCACCTCTCTGCTACTCTTGAGTATGTCTAGGGAGACATAGGAGCCACAAGTGCTGTGTACCTGAGTCACTCCTCTCTCATTGGAGTCCCTAATCATGTCCCGACTAATCATCCCCTGTGCTCATTTGCATTTTACATCCTTGGGGCAGCTTCCCTAAAGGTTTGTGCTTGTACTGGCTAATCACAGCCATCCAAAACACAGTATTTTTAAAACAAAGAGTTTTGCTACACAATAATGCTCTTTTAGGTTGTTTAAAATATCTGGGTAATATTTTTTTGTCCAGCCGAAAACTCTTAGCCTCCTTATAAGGCAAGACAGAGACGATTTAACTTAAAGTGGTTTAGTACATCCTGTTTTTCCCCCCGCGTTGTGACACTTAGTTCGTTTTAGTCTTGTATGGAGAGCTTGCACGTGAAGGAGCTTCTTAAAATATCATGTCGGCTGTATCCTGCGTTCAGAAGACCTTCTTCAACTCTGCTTCTCCAGCTAGAAACACAACGCGGCTGAAAAAAGGGCAGGATTCAAGAAAAAAAAGATGAATCTTCAAACAACCAGTCCAGTTAAGGTCATTTTGCCCCCCCAAAGTGCTTTGGTATGTCACATTAACTCCAGCTTGGTGGAAAGAAAGAAATGATTGGTCTTGACTGTATAAACATGAAGCAGTGAGGTTCCCCTTTTAATCGCACTGCATTTATTGGTTCTGTTCCCTCAAAGCATTTAGATGCTGTCATTTTATTTATTCATTGTTTTTGCTGACTCGAATGAGCTAGCAGAATGAGGGGATGCGTTGGAGACTCAATGTGATTGTGTTTTTTTTTTACCACTGGGAAGTCCTCAGAGCACTCAGTCCTGTTCGTGACCGCTCTGTGGCTCCCCCTGTGGGTCAGGAGCAGTCCCAGTTGCAGTGACTGTGGCTCTGGATTGTTACCATGGAGATTAATTAGCGCTGGTGGGCGGAGCCCAACCAGATGGGTAAAACTCTGCCCCATCTTTTCTGTATTTCAGTCTCTAACACAGGGGCTAAACTGGAATATCACACAGCTGGCTGCGTCCGCGTTTTTCCCAACAGGCCAGGATAAGATTTTTTCATATACCTCACACACCTGGAATTTTTTTTGTATGTTTTTATGACTCTCCCAAAGTTGTCTTGGTAGTCTGGCTTCACTTCAGTCTTCAGTTGAGTGTCGGCTGGTTTTTAGCTTCCTCTGATGCTTCGAAAAGGTTTAGAGATTTTAATAATTCTCTTGGAGAAAGAGGTTAAATTGAACCCTGAAGTGTTTTGTCCTAAAATAAACTGTTTTGGGGAGAGGTCAGCAGATGTTTTTGAAAAGCCATTCTGATTTTTTTTTAACGTATATTTTACTTTCCACGTTTTGATGCACTGGGTATTTTAAAAGCAAAAATAAAATAAAAGTAACAATTGACTAAGCAGTATTAGTCTATTTATCAGAGTTGTATATACTTAAATGTATAGTTTTCCTTCTGTTTATTTTATATTGTTAAATTTTATGTTTGTGTATCAGTATATAAAGAGAAGTCGAGTGCCAGTTTTTCCTTTCCTTTGATTTCAGACTTCTTCCTTGGCCATGTAATCTAGTGCTGATGAACTGGATAAACAAATAAATTTAAGAATTGCTTAAGTGCGATTGTCATCTTTTAATTCGCAAACTTCCTGCTTAATCAAAGCACTGTTGTTTTTTAATAGAAATAGGGGACGAAGAACAAATGGGCACAGCGTACATTGCTCCATCTAAAACCTTTATCTGTGGTGTTGGCAGCGGCTTTTCAGTAGAAATATCGCAGCGCCCGCAGAATTCAAGTGAATTTCCTCCAGGGTTTAATATTGTGTAAACACATAGCTTCATTGTCCGGCCACATCCGCTTTCTACTCTTTCTACCCACTAGTCCCATTTAAAGAAAGGGTGAAGTGCTTTTTTCCAGCTTCTTTTTCTTCCCCTTAACCACTCAAATTGTTTTAGTTGTGCAGAGCACATGTGCAAAGCTGGCTGTAGGAATGATTATGGTTTGCGGGCACTAGGTGGCAGTGCTGGCCAGTGATCTGCTTTATTCTGAATACAGAGGCGCTACTTCAGTATTAACAATTTTGTTTCACTCTAGGTTATTTGCAGTGCTTATTTCTTTTCTTTGGGAGTGACGGAGAAGATGAATTGCATCTTGATATTATGTCTAGTAGCAAGGCAGAAGGAAGATTTAAAGGTCGAGCTTTAATGTGGAGCTCTAGTGGGGCCAGCAGGGGGCGCTCACCCTGCAGTCCATGTGGGTCCTAATGCCCCAGTATAGTAACAGGGACACTATACTGTAAACAGGCGCCGTCCTTTGGATGAGACGTAAAACCGAGGTCATGACTCTCTGTGGTCATTATAAATCCCAGGGCGTTTCTCGAAAAGAGTAGGGGTGTAACCCCGGCGTCCTGGCCAAATTTCCCATTGGCCCTTACCAATCATGGCCTCCTAATAATCCCCCTCTATGAATTGGCTTCATTACTCTGCTCTCCTCCCCACTGATAGCTGATGTGTGGTGAGCGTTCTGGCGCACTATGGCTGCCGTCGCATCATCCAGGTGGATGCTGCACATTGGTGGTGGTGGAGGGGATCCCCATTACCTGTAAAGCGCTTTGAGTGAAGTGTCCAGAAAAGCGCTATATAAGTGTAAGCAATTATTATAATTATAATTAATGTAGTATCAAAAAAAGCATTTTCTTGTTCTGATGACCTTCAATAGATTACACATCTACACTTATCTGTTCTAGTAAATATGTTTTAACAGCTTCTTCCAATTAAGGATCGCAGGAGAGCCAGAGCCCTACAACCTGGGTAGAGTTCATCGCAGGTCACACGGACACAAACACACTCGCACCAGGATAAGTTTTCCCAGCAGCCAGTTCACCACCAGTCCATCTTCAGACTGTGGGAGGAAACCCACACCAACTCAGGGAGAACATGCAGGCTCCACACACATAGACCCTCAGGGCCAGAATGGAGCCCTGTGCCGCACGTGTTCGATATCTCTGGCCTTGATTTCTCACAGTCGGGGAAACCTGCAAGATGACAGGTCATCTCATCCCAAGGTGTTAAGTTCAGGATGTATTCTCTGGGGGAAATTGCTGACCTTCCCTCTGTGGTTAAGGTTTAAAACCTGGGACCAGATCTGATGAAATAACACTGGGTTCTCCCGTGCCCCGTAGTGGCCATCCTGACCCTCATACCCCTCCTGCTTGCCAAACCTTAAAGCCTGGAGAGAGCACGGCAAAGGTCCGTGGATCTGCTGAAGGAAAACATCCTCCCCCTAATTAAGACAGCAGAACTTGCATTGTGTGCGCTGGGAGCACTTCCCAGTGCTGCACAGTCTTCAAGCGGCTGAGTTTGGGTGTTGCACTAGCTCAAATTGCCTCCTTGCTTTAGGATAAAAAGGAACCGAGCGTGACGCGCGAGTTTCTTAGCAGCCCTTGAACACCGTGTCCTGAGGCTGAACTCCTGACTCCCTGGGACAGCTGGCTGGTCTCCACGCGAGCTTCTGGGAAATGACTGCACTGAGCAAGACCAGCCCACGGTTCCCCGCCTGAAACCTTTTCAGCAGCCCCGTTTCCTTCCTTTCACACAGCAACCTGTCAGCCCTTCCCTGCAGGGCTGTCGAGTTACTGTCAGAAGCTCTGAGCTGGGTCTGTCGGTGTCGGTGGCCCCTTTCAGGTGTTGGACTTGCTTTCCTATTGCCGTTACAGTGACACATTCAGGTCCTGCTCTCTACTGTTCCTAAGAGGAAGAGGAACAGGTTTCATAGAAAAGAAATGTCTTTTGTGTTTCAATCCTAGTGCACCGTGACAAAAAGATAACTGCACTATCAACTCTCTTCCATTCTTGGTAAACATGCCAATCACTCCTGCATGAGGCAGGTCTGACTGACTGTATTTCATTTTCATTGAGTTTTTTTTTTTTGCACTGGTGTCACTGTGTCTGTCTGCATTGATCAATGGCTGATCGATGAAAAAGAGCGTTATCGCTGGTAAATGTGAAATGCAATAAAAGCTTCCACGTAGTCTTGGAGAGTTCTGCCAGTGGAGCAGTTTTTTTGGATTGATTTCCAAAGAGAATTAACTCCCCGAATGGTTTAGTGATCAGAAAACACTGCTGTGAGCTGTGTGCTCTCCAGTGGGTAAAGGGGCTCTGTGTTGGGTTACAGTTGTAGCACTTAGCCCTCAGTTAAATACCTCAATGGCCTCCTGCCTTAAAATCCTGCTGTGCCAAATATTAGTGTTTTTCAAAAAGCTTAATTCAAATGCTTTAATTCTTACAGTTCTAAAAGCATGTGTTGAAATAAAGAAATCCTTCTGACCTCTCTGGCCAGCACTACAACTGTGGACTGTTAGGTTGGACTGAAAGGGGAAATGATCGGCTTACAGACTGACACGGACTAGTTCTCAGGACTGTGGTGTTTTTAAGAGAAAGCTGTGAATTACGGGAATGCGAATATCCATTTGCTTTGGCCATTTCGCAGTGCTAGAAAGAAGAACCGTCTGAACAAACTCCTGTACGTATAAATAAAATCAGTTATCCATCTGAACCGACTCACCCCACCACAGAAATGCGGTCTGAGCAGGTAGGTGATTAACAGACACCTTTAAGTGTGGAGTTTTGTTTTAGTTGCTAATATGCTGTGGAATGTTGTTGTTGTTTTTCTTCAGTTCTAACATAACCAAAAAGATTCAGCCGATCATTCACACGCGTTACGGCGAATCCAGAGACCCACTCCAGCAGACGGGCTGATTCCAGTTCCAACGTGTTTGCAGAGCTGCGTCCTCCATTCTGGGAAGGTCTGCACATCATGGAAAAGATTCAATTGCCTGTCATCCGCGTGTGTGTGTGTGTATTACTCTGCTGTGCCGACGAGTCTGGTTAATGATTAGCGGTGGAGACGAGGATTCTGGCGTGACGGTAACCAGTCGTTTCCAGTCATCTTGTCCTGAATTGCATATTAGCTCGTTTCCCTTAAACAGCAGCCCCGATGGTTTCTTCCTGTGATTACAAAGGTTTTTCCATGTGGTTTCGCGTTCATGGCTAATCACTTTCTGTGTTCCCACAACACAGAAGGAATACGGGAACGTTTCGGGTCTAACTTTTTTTTCTCTTTAGAGCTCACTAATTTGAGAGGGATATTTCTTGCCGAACTTGTTTTTCCTTACATTTTTCGAGTTGCCTCAGCTGACTCAAGAGTGGGACACCTGAATCCTCACGACACAGTCTCTCAGATTTTGCTTTTCAGTCTATTCTCCTGCAGCAACGAAGGGTCCTCAACGAGCACGTACTGTACAAGCTAACGGTTGTTGCTGTGCTTTTGCTTCAGTACTGTAACGTGTCAAAGACAAGGAAAATGGGGAAGTAACAGGCAGAAGCCCCCGTTGGATTGATCTTGTAAACATGCCCTGAGCAGAGCAACCACACCGATGAAAGAGAATAAACCCACAGCCTTCAAGAGCGAATGTAATAGACACATGCAGACTGTTTCCCGTACATGCGGCTCATAGCGAGCCAGGCATCTTAAGAGTAACTCAAACTTAATTTTATTACATTTCAGTTGAGAACATTAAATGCCATTGTTTGCTCTTGTGTCAAGGCGGCAATGTGCTTCTGCCTTTTTTAAATCTAACTGTCAGGGATATAAAATACATTCCTGTATTTTATTTAAATACACAATAAAATACATTGCTGAATACGCCGTCCGCGAGGCAAAACGGTAAATGCCACCTAGCCTCAGCAAGACCTTGTGGAAATTGGCCTAGCGGTGCGTGACGCCCAGATTTACCTCGGAAAAGGTCACGTTGGGTGCGCTGCTTGCTACGTTGTCAACTTGGTTGAAATGACTTAACTGCAGAGTTGTTAAATTTTACTTCCAGCAAGGAAATTCAGGCACTTTCCTCACCCGCCAAAAGATGTTTTTGAACAAAAGTCTCAGTAGCCATTTCTGACTTTGGAAAGGACATACTTGTATTATGAGCTTATGGAGAATAATTTGATGCAACTTCAGTTTGTATTTCATGGTTTCTCTGAGTCAAGCCTCGAGTTCAACCATACACTTGGCTACGCTATCCTAGTATTCCAATAGCACCCTGAAATCCTCCAGCTACACACGTCTGAACTAATCTTAACCACCTTTCCCTCAAGAAAGAAGTAGCTTAGAGAAAGCTACAGACAAGAGGAGGCCATTGGGGCTGGCCCAGGTTTGCTCATTTGATTAATTAATAATAATAATTGCTTACACTTATATAGCACTTTTCTGAACACTCCACTCAAAGCGCTTTACAGGTAATGGGGACTCCCCTCCACCACCACCAATGTGCAGCATCCACCTTGATTGCTACCTCATACATCCCAGAGATGTACCAAGTTGTGTACTTGCTGGGGTTTTCTGTGCAAAGATTTGCTTCCTGTTTTGAGTTCTGAATGCATCTGCTCTTAATTTCCACTTGACCTTGAGGTAATTGCTCGGGTTGACTTTGTCCATCCCTTTGAGATTCCCTTCGTGAAATTCTTGAATCCGATCCTTTGCAGTCCCCTGCTTCATGCTTCCTGTGAGCCAGCTGAAAACTAGAGTCTTGCTGTATTTAATGAATACTTTGTGCGCTAAA